AGGGAGCTATCAATGAACTTAATGCTGGAAACTTGGGGCTCCCGTATGGAGATCCCTTTGGTCGGATCGGTTTTTTCTGCTATCCCACTAGTCTCAGGTGTCTTCAACGTTTCTTCTTGTAAGGCGATCCTTTTGTTAATGTTCACCCTCATGGAAGGGTAGAAGGAAATCGGTCCTCCGTCATCAGCCCACACCACCCACTTATTTTCATTCAACTTCACGGCCCCCAACCTTAGAGCCTCCATGAGGTGCGGGCATTCACGCTTGATGTGGTTTTCCTCGTTGGAATAGATGCAACCATTCCGGGGAGTAGGGTTGGGCGGACGGACCCTGGCGGAAGGCGCCGAGTTAGCTGTAGCCCCAGCTCAAGGTGGGGGAGCAGCGGGCCTTGTTGGGTGTTCATCCGGCCTTGGGCCTGAGGGCTTATTTTGAGGAGGGTTTTCCCATCTACCATCCTTTGCATCTTTCCAATGAAAATTCCCCCAATCCGATCCCCTGTTACCCCCACTATCTCGGTCGTTTTCCAAGCCCCTTGGTTCCCGCCTCCAGGCTCATTTCTCCAATTGCCTTGGCCCTGCCCCAGCGCGGACCAAGGAACCCTTGAGAGGGTCTATCATTCCCTGTGGGGAATCGTTTTTCTGGCCTCGTTTTTGCCTCAAGGCCAGATCCAGACTTTCTTTCATGTATTCTCTCACGTTCATCCCCCCCCCTGTGAAGACTACTTCGGCCACTTTCTCAAAGCATCCGGAGTCCTTGGGGGCCTTCTCAAGGACTTCTTTCATTTTTTTCCTCGGGAAGGTGCACCATAAACATAACGCACCTATCTACTTCTGACAACGTTTCTCTATCCACCAGAGACTGAGAGAGTTTTTTGAACCTTTTGGTGAAAGCCACCAAACTTTCTTGTTCCCCTCGCGTCACCTGTCGCAGACCCTCAATCGCAGCGATCAGGTCATCATATGCAAAGATCCTCAACAAGCTTGCTTTGAAGGTCCTCCACCTTCCATCCAGAGGGTAAATTGCCCTAATGGCTTGGTCTAGTTCCGAGTCCAAGTGTTGGATAAAGTGGTCTATCCACTCCTTCTCGGAAAACTTATTTCCGAAGGCATAGCTTTCCCACTTTTCTACGAACCCAATCACGTCTCTCCCGGTAAAATAAAGAGTCTCCACCCTCAAATTGACGTCATAATAAGGAACGCGCCTGTCATCGTAGCGGCGGAAATACGGCCCTTCAGCTAGCCCGTCTATAACTAGGTCATAGGGCTTATACCGAGCTGGGTCCAACTCTTCCATGCGTGACCGACTTCGGGGCCGCCCCCAAGCACCCTCTTCCCGAGGACCTCTCTCTTCTTCTCCTCGTTCCCATCTCGCGGGGTCTGTACCTCACCATGCTCCGCTTACCCGGTCAATGTTTCTACTCATCATTTCATCAGAGGCCTAAGCAAAGTCGGCTTCCCGACCAGCCCATCGATGCGCACCCCCAATTGGTTTTGTAATCCGCTCCTCGAACAATTCTCTCCCTCTATGGGCCCCTTCCTCATTTCTCCCAGGCCCCCAACCACTTGCTCTATCGCGTGCCATTGTCGGGCCTCCTCTGCCCCCTTCTTCCACATCCACATGATTGGCCCACCGAGTTTCAATGGGGATACCCCTCGTGGCCTCCGCTACTCTTCCTCTGGTCGGCACTCGGGATTCCAAGTCCCTATGCAAATGTATCTCGATATCCACCTTTTGCCTGACGGGGGTATCCATTTCTTCAAGAGGTCGATCCGTACCGCTCATCTTTATCTCTAACGCCCACCGGCTCTGCCATTCCTCCAGTTTCCTTGCGCAACCTCATTCCTAGCTTCACCCTCTCTTTTACCCTTGCAACGTCCGTCAGCCCAAGCGACTGTGAGTGCTTAGGTTCGGCCTCACTCTCCATGCGCCCAATTGTTCCTTTCTACTAGTTTTCCTTGCTAGTGTCTGTACCCTCCTTATCGCTGCTACTTTCTCCCGAGCTTTCTCCTTCCTCACTGGACGCTCCTTTTTGGTCACTTCCGGCTGATTCTTTGCTCGTCAGTGTCGTCACGGTCCACCACGAGTCTCGCACCAACTTTTCGCCGTAGGCTGCTAGTGCCAAACGCGCGATTTTCAGATCGGAGACGTTCTCAATCCCCTCCTAAGAACAACGCCTTATCAAATCCTTATTTACCTCGCCTGCCTGTCCTTCAAATAGGGGCTTAATGAATTCCCCCACTTGTGCCCACCACTCGAAGTCCATATCTCTCAGAGATTCCCAACAACGGGTGAACAACTCGTGCCCTCTCGTCTCTCCCAAGGGGAACTTCTCGATCATCCATCCCCGATTCAAGATTTTTCTAACTGCCGAGTCATCAGGGTAGAGTAGGCGATAAGCCCAGGCGGAAATTTCCCAGGTCCAACCGTGTGCCGCCCGAGGAATCTCTTGTCGCCCCCCGTATTCGATCTGGTCCAGCACGCGTCCTTCCCCCAACCTTTTAAGCCGGCCTAAGGCTCTCTTTGCAAGGCCTAAGGGTTCCTTCCCTTCTGCTAGCTCGGTCGTGAAGAGCTGCCTATCACTGTCGGATAAGAATATTTCGGCCCGCCGTGTTCGGAGGTCGTCATTGGAGACCACCGAAAAGCGAATAACTCTTTCTTGATCGTATATTTCAAAGAACTCTACGACCGTCATTCCTCTAGTTATAATCTTAGGGAGTGTTACTTTGTACCTCCCTCCCGACTTCCAGGCTCATTCCAGGATCCCGACCGGGTCTCCTCGTTCGTACCTAATCATCGGTGATTTATCTCACCTTGGCTAATCTCTCAACCGCCGTGGTCAGGGAATCTTCACACCTCCGTCGAGTGTTGTCACCCCCGTCGTCTAGCACCTGCCGCAAAACCCGTTCGTATTCTCCCGTCCTATCCCAAAAGTGAGCTTCTACCAAGTGTAATCTCGCTTCAAGTGGTACCCCTAAGCTCCAAGCGTATTCCTCAAACATCCGTTCAACCTTTAGTAGCGGCTCTCTCCACTCCCTCGAAAAGCGGGTCCCTCCTAACGTACTTATGGTCAGGGTTGTCGACCCCCAGGCCCGGGGGTCCGGCGGGGGTCCCGGGGGTCGGGGGTCGGCACCCCCGACCCCGGCTTA